CTCAGCCACTAGCGCTGTGCCATTTTGACTGGCCAAGCCTGCTTCCGCAGCAGCATTGCTCTTCTTCGTGGTGTTCGCCCGGCTGAGGCCATCGTTCGGTCTTTCGGCCTCGACGTGGTAAGGCGGTGGCTTGGCCATGTTTGCTGCTTCCACTGTATGATTCGGCAGCCTTGCTTGGCCATCTGGGCAGGTATCCCTTTTCCTGCGCCCCATCTTTTGTGCTTCTGCTTAATGACACGGGAGGCTTGCTTGGCCCTCTGGGCAGGGATCTCTTCCTGCTCCTCCGCCTCCTCCTCTCTCTGGGGACCTTCCTGAGCTGTTTTGTTTTTGCCCTCTGGCGCGTACCGGTTGTCGCCGTTGTCACCCGGGCCAGCCCTCCCCCCCCCCCAAGGGTAATGGTGAACATCGTACGTAGGGAGGTGGCCTGGACCGATCCCCCACACGTGCTGGTGCTCGCGAGCATAATGCGGAATTCACAGCGCAGACCCCTTCCGGACGTGCCCCGCCCCACCCAAGCGTCACCGTTGTCCAGAGACCCCCCCCCACACCCCCTCGGGTAACAACCATTGCTGGAAATCAGAACAACAGATTCCCTGGGGCCCACCTGACGGATCGGTTCGAATCTGGCTTGATTCTAGCTCGATTCTAGTACGATGCAAGTTCGATTCGAGTTTGACTCACGTCGACGGACGTTCGACGCAGCATGGAGCAGCATCCGACCTCAGGCAGAGCAGTCTGTTTGGAGTGAGCACCTGGTCATGCCCAGGCTCAGATGCAGGCTCGAGGACGTCGATGGCTGACGTGCTCACCACTGGGATGTGGGGCAGATCGCACCCCCAATTGGCGAAAAGTCCTGGGATGTTTGTTTGTTTCGTCATTGCCAGGCCTCTCTCACCGGGCCGCCAGCCCGTAGTGGTCCAAGTAATTCAGGCGCCAAGTCCTCAAGCATGATTGTGGTGATGATGATGATGATGATGATGATGATGATGATGATGATGATGGTGATGGTGATGGTGGTGGTGGTGATGGTGATGGTGATGGTGATGGTGATGGTGATGGTGATGGTGATGGTGATGATGACGATGATGCTGATGCTGCTGCTGATGATGATCCTGATGCTGATTGTGATGATGATGATGATGATGATGATGATGATGATGATGATGGTGATGGTGATGGTGATGGTGGTGGTGGTGATGGTGATGGTGATGGTGATGATGATGCTTATGATGGTTAGCCAGATCCTCCCAATAATGACACCTGGGATATAAGAAAGTTCGGGGTCCCGGGGATAATAAACGATTTGGCCCGGTCAAACGCACGGAGGATGTATCACGAGGAAAGAAAAGGTCACCGTCGGTCGCCGTCGTGGTCGTCATCGCACGAAGACGACGATGACGTCGACGATGGTGAGAAAATTCCATAGTTTTGCCACACGTTCGTGACTCGGCGAACTTGAAATGGTGAGCATATCAGATATCGTTGCCACACGTGCGTGATGATGTTCCTAATCACCCAGCAGAAGAAGATAGCATCTTCGATTCGTAATTTTCCCCCGCGATGATGAAGTTCGGCTTCGCCGCCCCTCTCCCCCGACCAGCTCTGTCTTTGCCCGAGAGAATCAACTCTCAGGGGTTAAAGGAGGATGCTTTATTATCCGGGGCTCTTGGTTATAATGATGGTGGCGATGATGATGATGCTATACTGATGTAACAGCCGTCGAGGCTCCTCCTCGTTTATTCCCTGCAAGGAGCGTCAACGAATGATGGATCACTGTGGTGAGGGCAGTCCATAACGGCCGTGCTTCAGGTGCCCTCGGGATTGGTAGCTGCAGCCCTACCGTTTCCGTCCTACAGGCCGGGTCGCTGGGGGCCGAGCTTCCAAAATGATTCTGATTTCAGTGGCAAGCGGTGACGAAATGTGGTTCTTGCACCAGAGAGCGCTGCATCAAGGCATCCCGCTCCGCCCCTTTCTTGTTTTTGCTCTGGCTGTGTCTCTTGCTGCTCACGTCTGCATATATAGTTTGATTCACGCCATGGGCAACGTTGAGGCCTATACAGGCGGCCCCGTTTAGTAGGTCGGCCCTGCCAAGATTTTTCACGCGGCGAGCGGCGCGGCCAGTCGGATACCTTTGGCGTCCTGTCCGGCGTGCGCCACCCGTCACGGGGCTGCGGGTCGGCCGCGGGTAACCGCGGTCGCGGCCTCGGCAGGGCACCCTCGTGTCCTGTGGTCTGGGAGGCCATGTTGCCGTCGGAAGCGTCCCGTGTCCTGTCGCGTGTCCTGTGTGCAGTGTTCGGCCTCCGGGCTCCGGGGGAATGCCCCGGCCCCACGCGCCCAGGAGCCTGTTTTTCTTCAGATTCGGGCAAGTTGACTTGCATGGACGGGGGGGGGGGCTGAGCCTGAAGCAAGCCGAAAACAATTCGACGTGCGGAAAACACGCAAGTCGAAAGGCACTTGCACGCTCGTGTTCGATTGAAGAGGGGCGAGGGGGGGGAGGGGGGGCGCTTGCCTGGATATAAAGAAAAACAGGCTCCAGGCATCGCGCCTGGGAGCCTGCTGGGCCAGCCCCCCTCGGGAACCTGCCGCTTCTCCGTCGGGGGGGGACCCGTCGCCGACCCATCGGCGATGCCTCGCCGACTTCTTGTTCTCGATGTTCTCGCCCCCCCTTTGATTTCAGTCGGGCCTGTCCCTCTACAGGGGGAAGATTCAAAAATAGTCAAGCAGTAGTCGGGGGACGATGGTTTGAGCATGGTTTGGCTATTTTGGGGTATCTTTTGTGAGTATCTTTAGATTTTCGCCCAAGATCCTCCTATAGGGGGGTCCGTAGCCATTTTGGCTCAAGCATTCAGGCCGAGCACAGGGCTGATTCGTCCGCGCCCCGATCCCAGAGTCACCTTGCGCTACATGGCGCCCATGGCGGAAAATCCTCAGCTGGTGTGCCTCGAGAAGCTGGGCCTGGCGGCCAGTGCCATGCGAGCGGAGGCGACTGAGTTTATCCCAGCGCCGTTCAACCCGGTGTGCCAGACCTATTCCGGTTCCAACGCAAGCACCGCCCCCCCGAGCCCCATGGGCAGCAGCCTGAGCATTTCCTCGGGTGGCTCCCTGGCGGTGGCCTCCGCCCGCCTGCCCGCCGCCGACCTGTCCGCTCTGCTGCTGTCCCAGGCCACCCCGCCTCCGCCGCCCGGGCTGGACGTCCCAGCGGCCCCGCTGGCTGGGCTGCGCGCCATCGAGGAGCCGAATCCCGCGGAGGCTGTTCCCCAGGAGGAGGTGCTCGGCCGCCCCTTCGAGCCCTGGTTCGTGAGCCTGCCCAAAGGGACCCGCAAGAGACAGCTGCCGGTGGGGGAGCCCGTCAAGAAGCAGCCGCCCACGTGGTGATGCACAGCTCCCTGCAGACGGGTGGAGGTGGGATCATGAGGGTGGATCGGGCTTACGCGGGATGGAGAGCACGCGCCCGCAGCTGGAGCTGATCTTGCTCGCACCAGGGCAGACGCGCACGCGCACCGCGGTGCGGGTGCGAGGTATCGGTGCATGCACATCTTTCGGCCGGAGTCTGACTTCTGGCGTACGGTCGCCAGCACTCGGTGTATGCGCACCGCTCAAGGGAGGAGTGGTTCCGATTCCGCTGCTTGAAGATGCGGAGGTGGAGGCGACCAATGGGGTCCAGCAGCGCCCCAGAGGGAAGAAGCTTCCGCGCGTCAGCGATTTTCTCACCCATACGGAAGCGCGAACGGAAACGCGCGTTGTTTTAGTTACTTTTAGTTGAGCGGTCTTCGAGACATCAAGGCACGCTTTTTGTTGTGGCAGGCGAGTGTCCGCGGCACGCGATCATGCCGCTGGCATGTTTGGTGAGCTCGCACGTGGAGGATTGGGATGGCGAGGAGACGAGAGATGAGGGCGGGCAGGCTTGTCGAGCGCGCCCTCAGAGGAGCGCTCCCGCTGCCTCTCAGGCCACGGTGCCAGAGGATCGAAAACCTTCTCTCTGGAGGTGGAGCCTCCACTCTGGAGGGGAAGCCTTTCCAGAACAGAGGACCAAGAGCTGGAAGCTTGAATGGGGGGTCGAACTATCCATTCTGAAGTCTCTGGGTCCTCTAGAGCGCGCCGAGCCTTCGAGCCCTCCACATTGGAGGTCGCACTCTCCCATTGAGCGGTGCCGAGTGCGCCACGGACGGCCCTCGCGCGCACCGCGTTTTCCCGCGCCTCTCGCTCTTGATAACAGAGAGGCGTATACTTTTAAAGTGTTCGCCAGTTGATGGGCGCGTAGGAGCATTCTTGCGCTTGCAGCCATCTACTGCTACTTCAATTTGGTGCCAGCTGACCCGAAACGCCACAGTACCTGCAGGACTCTGTTCTCACGTTGCGCTCCATACTGTATGGTGCGACAGGTTCCCTCCTTTGCATGTGCGGATGCTTATTTCTGAGAGTGGCTCTTGTGTTTTCTGCTCTCCTCGTTGCCCTCCCCTGCCTGGATGCCACGGTGGCCGTAGTCTTGTATAGGGAGAGGAGGGCGAGGAGGACGTGGAGCCGACCCCCAAAGGGGGTCGCCCCAGAAGTCCCACATTCGCCCTCCGCCGCCAGCGGTCTCCGCCGATGCCCAGCCGGCAGCTTCAGCTTCACACGTTTCGTTTTTGGTGGCAGCAGCAACGAATTGCGCTGCGCACTTCTTTCGTACCGTGCGCCACGCCGGACCGCGCGGGTGCGAAAAAAAACAAAAAAGATCCTCCTATAGGGGGACACGCCCGACCTAACCTTTGATCGGACAGACGTCAGACTATTGACGCCTTTTGACGGGCCCGTCATAGCTTCTGACGGCCCAGTTTCTTCAGGGGATGCTTAAGCAGCGGGGGTTCGCGTCAGAGTTCAGATCGGGTCTCCTCATTTTCTTGACGGCTCCGTCAGGCCAGCCCGAGTCCCCCGTAGATCCGAGTCTTACACGTCCCCCGACCGGGGCCAGTCTTCCCAGAATCGTTCTCCCTCAATTATACCTACGTGCAGTCAGGATTGTTGCCGACATTGCCGAGGCCAGAGCCGTAAACACGCTAACGACGATGTAGATAACGGCGATGTAGGTTTCGGTATTGTGGGACCGCGTGGCCTGTGCTTTCCCAAACTTCGCTGTGCCGTGTTCGTTCGATGCATTCGCATTCTGGAATTGTAGGCAAGTGTGGTTCGCGCGTTCCTACAATTTGGTTCCCAGCACCACCGTTAGGCAACATCGCCGTTAGCGTGGCCGAGCCACAGGTGTTGCCGGCGCCTAGGCGAGGCAGATCTTCGGCGCGGGGAGTGCGTTGCCCAGCTGCCGGGGCTGCGGCACGAGTCTTGAGACTTTCGTGTGGGGTGCCTCCCTTTCTAGGCAGTAGGTCGCCAAAGGTTCCGCTCGTCTTGTGTATGGAATGCATATCGGCCATTCGCGTCGAAGGCCCAGTAGTGGCGGATGGTGTTCAAAGAGCGCCGGATGGTGCCATGGAAGGGAGATGAGTTCCGTCCGCTGGTTCGACGCAAGCTCGACTCAAGTCGAGGAACGTTCGACGCAGCATCGTCGTGTGAGTGGAGCGAGTGGTTCCAGGAAGGCAAAGCGAGCATCGAAGTGTTCGTTGCGCCCTGAGGTGGGAGCATCGGTCTGAGCTGTTGTTCTTGCCAGATGTTTCTGATTTGTCATTGTGGGTATGTATATACCCATGTTACAGTATTGTGCCATATTGGTAGTGGTTGGTTTGAGTGTTTGGGAGATGCGGATCTTGGTCATTGAATGTGATGACTTGTGTTGGTTATAGCACCGTCTGAAGAATATGCTTTAATCTATGTATATGTGTATATTTACACACACTCACATAACCATGTGTACATATACACATACGAACTGGGATTCTCGCCCTCCAGGGCTCCTTTGCATGGCTTGGCAAGAGGCAAGCCCGCGCAGGCTAAAATATAGATGGGCAGGCTATCGGATCTGTCCGAATTTCTAGGTGATTCTGGCGGCTCATGCTTCATCTAGGAGGTTTGCTACCAGCACGAAGCTTCAGTGTGATTTCGGAAGGGGGGGACAGTATGTGCGCACTATGTGGCGAGACAGCGTTTGGATCAGATCCTTGGGCTCGTGATTGGCAGTGATTCTTATACTGTTCGCCGTCCTCCACAAAGCGTGCCGCGTGCGTACTAGCAGCTCATCGTCGTAGGTTTGCGGCCGGCGCGATCGCCTGCACACGACGGGCTCGTGTCCATGTGCATTCGCGACCTTCCCTCGGACAGGGAGGCAAATACCCGGCCATCAGGACATGGGAGGTGCCGTCAAGCGTGCGCACTCCAGAGCGCTTCAGGAGGGCAGGCAGGCATTCGACGAGGCCAGGCGCCTCACGAGCCAGAGGACCCAGCGCCTGTTCAGCCCCTCGCAGGTGGAGTCGTGAGAAGTGGCTCGCGGCCTCAGCCGATGCCGGGCATGTCGAGATTTACCAGCCTGGAACCTATCCCCATCCCTCTGCCGGGCACCTCCTCATCACGATGCCAAGCTTGGGGATTCCCTTATTTTTTAGGGCGAATCCCTAAGATTGTCATCGCCTTTGGGCGTGTCGATCTTAGGGATAGGGATACGTTCGAGGCTGGTAAGAGATCGGTACGGTGGTCGCGCTCCGCAGAGCAGAAGGAGGCAGCAGCAATGGTGCGTTGATCGGAGGACCCATCTGCGTGCGTGCTGCTGCAGAAGCACATAATGGTTCTGCACAAAAGGGGCAACCACACACTGACAGTTTGAAACAACGACGGGCATGTCGTCGATCCTCCGTCTCCCTCCCGAGCGTCCACTCGAGGGTAGAATTGTGGCCGCGAAGGCCCACCGGTTTGCAAGTCTTCGCGTTCGGGTGATCGGTTGATCGGTTGTTGGCCACGCGTAAGAGTGTCCCTTCGCCAGAGTCACGTTTGGTGTTGGCCTACAGGGGTGCCCCCACCTTTGTCTTGCGCGCGTGGATTTGGCCACTCGGCGGCCCCCTAGACCTGCGCACCAAAGGGCTCTCTTGCAAGGGGTCGGTCACTCTTACGTGCAGCCGAGGGTGATCCTGGCGATAGGGTGATCGGTCAGGTTGTTTGCTTGATATGTAGCGACGGCGCCAGCAATTACCTCATCGCTGCCCAGGCTTCAGTTCATGGGCGAGATGGTGACTCTGGAGGACGGCGCATGGGACGAGCAGAGAGCACCTCGTTCGTTGTTGATTATTAATATTACACATATGTATGTACGTGCACGGCGGCAGTTCGCGTTTGGGTTTGTGGGGGCAGGCGACGCGGCGACAACCCCAAATGTGCCTCTGTGACAATCCGGGCAATGCCAGATGACTGGACCATGATCGGCGATTTCGCATCGGGCGAGGGTTCCATCCCGAAAGCGTGCCGTCTTCCATTCGCGTTTCTCGTGATGATGCCAGTTTCCGCGATCAAGAAGCGTCAATTTGGAAAAAGACGTCTGGGAATGATAGTGGCTTGTTCTGCAGGTTGTTCGTGGTTTCCCCACGCGTCGATCTAATCTCCAAGGGATTTCTTGAATTGAGTTCGCTTTACATGTAAGGACCCACAGTCATGAGATGCAATGTGAGATGAAGTTCAGGCACAGCGCCCGACCCCGCACCACTGACAGTCCTGCTGGCGCATAACAAAACAAGGTGTGCGGGAGGGGGTTGCGGGGTGGCTCGTGGGGAGGGCGATATCGGAAGGCAATCGCAATGCAACACCATCAAGCTTGTCCGAGCGAGTTGTCTACAGACCCTCACGGCCCAGGCCTGAGTCGACAAGAAGTCTGCGTCGGTTCATTCGACCTTGGTATCCGAGTGTGCCAGTGCAGTCCCCAGTCGATCTCGCTCGTCGAAGTTCGCATCGCCAGACTCACTCGTTTGGATTTGGACGTCGACTGGCTACCCCGCTGGGGTGTACTCGGAATACCGTGCCGCGCGCACGTGGAGTGCTCCTGGTAGCTTTCGCTTTGGGCCGTCTAGGCAAAGGTTGTTGTGCCAGTCTTGGAGCTGTCTCGGAGGTGGACAGACCTTCTACCCTGACACGTCGATTAGTGAATTGGCCGTTTTCGGTTCGCGAGGGGGCGTCGCGGCCGTCATTGTTGCGGGTCCAGGTCCGTCGAATTCGGTCCCAGGTCGTTTTCACTTAGGGGAGGTTTACTAAAGGGAGGTTTGTCCACCGCCGACTGTCGCATCGCATGTAGCGGCCAGCGAGCCGCGCACAGAAAGGTCATTCGGCCCGCTGCCGCCGCGGGGCTGCCTGTCAACTCCGCGGCCTGCCGCGTCCCCAGCGGGAGCAAAAAGCGAGCGGCGCCCAGGAGCCGCCCCTGGCCGCTCGGCATCGCGCTGAGTGCGCCCGCAGTTGTGCCGATATCCGCGGCTGACATGGGCTGCGCACGGCGGTCCAAGAAAAGGCCAGCCGAAGGTTGAAGCGGCGGCAGAATCCGAATCCTGCTCTCGCCGATCAACGATTCGGGCAACTAGATGAGCGGAGGGGGTAGGGTCCGGAATTCGTCGAACACGTGGCGGAATCTAAACCCTACCCCCGCCTCCCATCGATGTAGGAGAATCGATGGTTGGTGGGGGAAGGGTTCGGATGTCGCCACCTGTTAGAGCGGCAACATGTCGTCCTGCATGGGCATCGGTCGGTTGATCCATGCCGCCAGTTACGTTGCACCTTCGGGGGACCTCGCCTGTCCCCAAAAATTGCGTCTTGTATTGTACGACGCGGGCCCGATGCGGACTCGACGCGGAGTTGGCGTGAATTCGACGCGGATTCGACGCGGATTCGACACGGATCCGACGGGTCCGACATGGATTCGACACGGATTCGACGCGGATAGGTCCGTGACGGGACAGCTTAGGTCCCCCTTGAGGATGCAACATATGATATTGGAGTAACACCATGCCGCCCTGCATGGGGGCATCGGTCGGTTGAGCCACGCCGCCGGGGCGCTCAGAGGGGGGGGAGGGGGGGGGTTGCGCGAGGCTGCACCAGGGGCGTTGCCAGCGCGTGCCCCCCCATGGATCCGAATGTCGATATCGAGGTTCAATTCGATCCCCATGTTCGGGCGATCCGCTGCGGCCCGATGTTTGCATGGCTTCGGTGGCAAGTCATGGGAGCCCTGTGTGTCCTCCGGATTCCGTCACTAGCGTCAAGTAGCGTCTGGGAGTCGACGAGATCGCGCCGATTTAGCATCGGATAGCGTCGATTAGTGTTGATTTAGCGTAGACTGGCGTCGATTCCCAAGAGCAGACGAGATGGTATGGGAGGCTCCCATGAGCTGCCACCGAACGTGGCTCTCCTGTGCATTCTGGCGCAGCCGGTCCGATTCGATTTCGATTCGGCGTCACTGCGGCGCGATCCGATGCACGGACCGATCCGATACGATCTCCCAGTTCGAGATTGGTTGGTTTGTTCTCGCCCCACTACCCCCCTCTTGCAGCCTCCAACCACATCTTCTGCTTCCCCTTTTCTCCCCCCTCAGAGTCTTACGCGCACGCGGGGTGGTGAGGGAGACGGCAAACAGGAGGAGGGGGAGGAGGAGGGGGGAGGAGGAGGAGGAGGAGGAGGAGGAGGAGGAGGAGGAGGAGGAGGAGGAGGGGGAGGAGCAGGATTGAGGGAGAGAGAGAGAGAGAGAGAGAGGCTGGGCTCCCACCTGGCATCGGATCCTCTGAGTGTGTGGGCGTGGACGCCTATATAGCAAGACCACATGCAATATGTGTGCAGTGGCCGGCCGGATCTGGGCCCGCGCGCCACCGACGCGAACCACAGATGGAAGCACTTGGCAAACGACGCGAATATCGGGACAAAATCGGATCGGGATAACTCGAAATCTCTGAGAATCGGCGGGTTTGGAGGATGTATTGGGCGCCGCGGCCGCTCCAGAGCGTTCCGTAACGCTCTGAGAGCGCTCCGGAACGCTCTGGAGCGATTTATCGGGATCCTAGCCCTGTTTCAACTTGGCCTGCTACAACGAGAACGTCAACACGCACACATGCCGCTTCCCCAATGACCACCTTCTCATCGACGAGCGGCACAGGCTCCTCGACGCATTTAACACCGAACACTTCACCTGCGTCCGCTTTCCATATGTGCTCCCACACCCACTGCTACGCTCAGTCTGGCATGGCACCTCATATCCGCACAACAAGGAGTTCGAAGTCAAACCTAAGGTACATCGTCTCATACTCAAGACGCTATGAGGGCCGACATCGAGTTACCACCACCACCACCTCCGATGAATGTCAAGAGGAGCAGACTGATGCTCGGCGACACGCTACAGGACATGGATATCCAGTGCAACGTCGACCCCGAGCTCCGCATCGACATAGCACCCACCAACCAATATAACCAAACACAGACCATGCCACCCCCGTTTGGACCACTGCGCTTACGAAGATATCGCAACGGCTTTACACGATCTTGGGAGGCGAATGGTCAGAGGACCTTTCAAGGACTGCGGTGGTGCTGAACACCGAGCACTTCAGGCAACACCAAGCACTTCAGACAACAAGGACAGCTCCGCACCCATTAGCACAGCCGACAACAATCACAGTCAAGCTACACAAGCAGTCCAAGGACCGCACGAGTCGGCACATTGCAAGTGACGAACCAGCCCAGCACCCCAGAGAGTCTGGCAGCCCACATTACACAGCAGCCAGCACCACCAATTCTCAACATACCTCTGGCCTGCCCACCTCCAGGCATTTCGACGGCCACATACTGCTGGCTTGCAAACGTTCCACCGACCCAGCGTCTTTGCAGACACAAGCCTTTATCGCAGCATGTTCTTCAACTGGAGCTCCCTCACCCATCGGCAAGGACCGGCCCGAATGCCAACGAATGGCCGCCCACTACATAATGCCAACGTCTACGGCGAGCAGCTGGTAATACAGATCACCGCCCACTACAACAGATGACCGCAACTACATACTGCTAATGCGTAGTGCCCACCCTGACAGAGTACCTCGAGAAAGTACGGGATTTCCAGCAGCAGCGCACACAGTGCATAGCAGACGCACAAAGGCACAGCGAATAATGTTTGCGCGCGCCACGAAAAGCACAACCGACAGCAATGCCTTACATCTATTGAGCCATACCACCTCTCCACCGAAATTCGTTTTTGTTGGTAAGAAAAAAATATCTCATATTGGAGGTTGTCTGGCGTCATTTATATCGGAGGAAGGTGGAAGCAGTGCGTATCTTACACTGTTCCCCCCCACGGCTCTCAGTGCACGGGTCCTCCCCATGCCTCGGGGCGTGCCATCCGTGCATAGTTTACGCACCGTTGCGTCGTATTCACCGCTAGCAGATCGTCGTTTCTTCTGACCGCCCCGTATTTGCACTGCCTGCGGCGTCTGCCATTCACCATGGCGATTCTGTTAAGTATGCATAGCAGCCGTCCGCAGTACCCTGTCGTGGGGAGGGGCTCTCGGATGGGGACGGTGGCGCGGGCTCACACATGGCACGATACCGCATCGAGTGTTGCCACGGAGTGCAAGACAGGGCGAATCGCCCGTTGCGCGCACATGTAAATCAGGGCGCATCGCCGGTTACACGTTCCTCCCAGTTCCTTCGCTTTCAGTATGCACGCGCTCTTTGCTCGCTGTTTTTTCAGGAGTCGAAAGCTACACCTACTCCAACTCGTCCTTAGCTTTTCACTGATCAGATATCTCGTCGGCGTTGCGTCGGGGCCGCTCGCGCAAACTCGATGGTTCTATGCGTCGCGTTTTGCGCAGGCGGTGCCCAATGGCTTCGGGCGCCAGATGAACGTCTTGGCGTCGGTCGCCCAGCGCCTCGAGAGGGTGCGATGCCGGTCTCGCATGTCAGCCGAAGCCGCTTGTGCCTCGCGGTTGCCCCGAGCGCGCGCCTCTCTCGCCTGGCCGCTGAGCGCCGCGCGGTCTCTCCAAGTGGATTTCGCACGCTCGGTTGCACTGATCGCGCAAGAGGGCGGGCCTCTGCAAGTGCTTGAGACCAGTGCGCGAGTGGTCCGGGTCTGACCAGGGCCGAACAGACGCGAAGGCACGCTGAAACTTCGCGCGCCGACGGAGGACATACCCTGATCGCACCGGACCGCACTGGCCATTCAAAAGCCCAGTGGAGACCAGCGATGCTGGATTTTTTTCAGGGTGCCTCGAAAAAACATATACTGAAAGGGGCCAAGGCGCCAAGGCGCCGAACAACGCGCACTCGGGGGAATCCTTGTAGCCGCCCTTTGGCAGAACACAGGCGTTGCGTTTGACCCCCGGTCTCCCGCTGGCAGCCCCAGTGCGCCGTTCGTCGGGACGAATCGAGTGGAGGAGAGAGGCTTGGTTTGACACAGGACGCCCTGATAGTCATGTAGTGTGCCCTGGCGCATCGCGCGGGTTTGGTGCAGGTGCGCTCACGGTTCCACCCCGAATCCCCTCTTCCCGTATTGCCCGCCGTTTCGCGGAGGTATCCCGGGGCGGTTCGGACGCGTCCTCAAAAGAGTTTTGTTGGGGGAATCCCCAATGCGGCGGGCC